GTTGTAACAGCTGTCTGACTGAAAAGATGTCGCTGTTAAATCCACCGAAGATCTCCAAAGTTTGTTCATTGCTGTGAACTTATTAATCGTGATTAATTGATTATTGAAACAATCTTCAAAAAAGGCCGTCTGCTGAAACAAGCAAAAACACCCCAACAATTTGCATTTAAGATTTAAAAATGCGTACACTAAAAGAATAATCTGTTAATTTTATTTTAGATAATACATTTTCTTGTTTATTTGCATATTTTAATGAATTTAGAATAAAATTATTAGATGTTAAAATAAAACATATGGAGAATACGGCAATTTGTTCATCTGACTAATCATCAGAATAATTGATAGATGAATGAATTCATTTATATTATTTTACCTTATTTTATTAGCACATTTCTCCTTATTTAATCCTTTTGTTTTCTTTCATAATGAACCTGTTGTTATTTCTGATTAATCTCACCCATTACCCTGATATTTCACTGAGAATTGGGCACATGGTTCTTTGCATATTTAAGAAAAAGTTTTTCTGCTCAACTATTTTAACAAAATACCTTTGCCTTCTATTTAGTGCCTGTAATATATATACAGTACAGGGTTAAAAAGTTTGATCAGTTTTCGCCTTTTTGTCACACTTACATGTTTGTAAGTATAATATTGACCTGGGTACATTTAAAAAGAGGTTTTTATATTAATTCTGTTTATTTATGGTACTTGGGGCTGTCTCAATTTTACTAAATTGTCCCAGAACTTATTGCAAAAAACAATAATATTGTTGTTTTAAGGTAATTTTCAAGAAATAATGACATTCTCAAGGCTAAATTTTAAATTCTAATAAACATTTAAACACTGGAACTGGAAGACATTTTCAAATATCCAAAATAAATTTAAAAAAGCAACAAAAATAGCAAATAAAATTAATTATGAATTTCCTAGAAACAAAATTATCTTTCAAAAAGGATAGTTGAGAACAAAACACAGCTTTTATCATTCATTAAAAAAAGAAAGAAAAGAAAAAAGTGATAAATGAAGCAAATGGAAATTCTTTAATTTATTTTCATTTATCACGAGATTAATTGTTTATTGCCTATTGGCTCCATTTTAACTTGCCATTTCTGACAAAATGGATTAAAAATGATAAAATAAAAATCAAGATGTCATTCCCAACATTCAGAAAGTCACAATAACACAAAGGCCTATTTCATATTTATCAAATAAATAAATAAAATAAATACATACATAACATTTTACATGATTCAATCTGGTGTAACAAGATGCACTCAACAACTGGGAAATTTTTTGTGTAGAAAAAATATTTTAAATCAAGTAACTTTGAACATTAAAATCCCAATAACACACGTTGAGGTTTGTGGTTAATTCTGACTAAGCTTTGGATATTTTCTATTTTAATCGTTACAATGAGGGGAGAGAAGGAAAACACCCAAATACAGCAAAACAACAAACAGTCCAAATAAACATAAAATCCAACTTTTAAGAATAAGAATGGAAAAGAGTTACTAAACGTTCAGAAGAGAATATTTGATACAAATTTTCAGTCTCATTATAAGTCAAAACTTATTTGAGGAGCAGAGATCTGGGAATTTTTTTTATCAGATCATCTCCCTGATGATGGGACATCATCAAATCCCACTGCGTCTTCCCACGCTCCGCTCATCCTGGCTGGAAAACAGAATCACGTCATGACACATGACTGTGAACTCAGACCAGCAGGATGTCTGTTTTCATGGAGATGTCACTGCTTATGACACAGCAGCAACAAACCACAGCTTCGGCCCGAGTGTGTGTGTGTGTGTGTGTGTGTGTTACTGTGTGCAAGGCATTGCAACTGTGCAAGGGTGTGTGTGTTTCTCAACATCACACACCTACTGAGGATTGCAACACAATTTACATCTAAAGTGTGTTTTTTTATTTATTGGCACATCAAACCAACACAAAGCAGCAGATCCACTGCTGAGAGTTTTTACTGTTACTGTTTTTGCAAAATCCTTAAAAAAAGTAACAAAACGTGGAGATTAATATTCGTATTAATGTCCCAATTTTGAAAAATATCCTAGATCAGGTGATGATGTGCTGGATCTATTCACTCTATTTCTAAGCTTTACAAATAATAAATACGTTATTTATCTTATAATATATTTAGAATTCCTAATTGCACTTTCTGAAACATTTAAAAGAAAGTTTTGTTGCAGTTTATATTAACAGTTAACTTATCAGTTTCTTTATTATTTATTTTAAATTTTCTGTTGTGCTCCTAACTGCACTGACTGAACAAATTAAAGTTGTTTTCACATTTCAGTATATTTTTAAAACACTCTGGATCAATTCAGCTGTGTTTTTCTGTATCAGATTCTGTCGTCTGATACTAATCCTCAGACATCTGGATCAACATCGGAAGTGACAAAAGTGGATCAGTTCATTTCCAAACGAAAAAGTTACTCATTCATAAATCATAAAAATAGTAAAACCTCAAAGGCGGTGAATACTTTTAATAGTTGCTGTAGTTTTTAAGTTGAAGGGAAAAAACATTTCACACATTAAAAATAAAAAAAGACAATGAGAAGCTGATTAGAGCTGATTATCACTGGTTTTCTAAGTGATAAACCAGTTCTATAGCTTTAAGGTGAACTGGTGTCAACCACAGTATTGCACTAATAATATTACATATTAATTTTATTAGTTAAAATGTGTTTTTTTACCACAATGATTTATTTCTCATTAATTCCTTTGAGGATTTTGGATTTTTCCACAATAATCAGATGCATTCAGCACAACGGAACAAGCTCCATGTTTGTTGTATTTGGCTCTGATTGGACCCGGGTCTGATGAAATAAATCCCCACTCGGTGGTCCTGGAGTAAAATCAAGAAACAGCTGCTGCAAATAAAACAACTTATGGAAGTGAAGTGGAAAATGACAATAAACAAAAAAATATATTGCAATAAAAATGTAGATTTAATACTGTTGATCCACTCCCTTTCTGGTTCCTCCGTTCTCTTCAAGCTTCTGTTCAGGACTTCCTGTCTATATAAATATCAACAGTCCTGCTTATCTCTTATTCTCCAACATGCGCAAACCATCTTATAGACTCGCCGCGACGTAGCTTAGCAATTGACAACACGCTGAATGAGTTGGAACAATTAGCTTCAATCTGATATCTTATTGCTGATAAACCAGCTGCGTCATTTCACTTCCTGCTTATAAAAATAAACACTTCCTGCTCTGTTTATTCTGGACTTCCAGAAATTACTTTGACTTTTCTTTCAACATACATCCATATTTATGTTTTTGATTAGGTAAATATTAGGTTTTGTACAGTCTCAGAATAATAAAGCCACCATGAGCAACAGGTGTTTTGTTTTCTTTTTGTTTCATTCAGAGTGTATTTCTTTGTTTTGTTTCTTAGTTTATTCTTGTGTTTTGTTCCTTATACATTTGAATTAATTTCACATTCACTTTTTTAGTTCATATATCTATTGAATTAGTTCACTTCCTCTGTGCTAATTAGTGTCCCTCCCTCATCTGGCCACTTTTGGACTGATTAAATAAATAATATTAAATTCTTCTTCTGAAAGTTTTGAGCCAAAACTGACTGCCACCATGAATTTGTTCTGTTTTTAGTGATTTTATTGTGACATTTTAATTACTCCATAATGTTTGTTTTGGTAGAAAAGGTTTTTGTCCTGCAGCCCTGCTCTTTAATCCACACATCTGCAGAAAATAGGGGATTCCTGTGAAACACACTTGGTGCCAGAACTTCGTGTTGCTTTCAGCCTCTTGGCAGTTTTCCTGATTCGCTTCAGTTTAATTCCAGGTTCTACTGCAATCTTTGTAACCTTTCACAAATGTTTATTGTACAATTTCCTTCAATAGATGCATCTGTTTTACATTTTAAAGGAAATATGGTGAAACAGATCTGAAAGGAATTTTCAAAATCTTGTTTTCAGATCATATATATGTTATTAAAACATAAGTTTTTTAAAAGTTTTATCTCTTGTTAGCATTAGAGAAGAAAATAAAGCTGCAATATTTTGATGCAATTACTCACTGTATACCTGGTGCCACAGCTTTGATCATCCTAAGGAAACTCCAGGAAATATCCCCATCCATGGCCTCCTCTATAAAAAGGATTGTTCTTCATCTTGGAACTAATGACGCACTCCTGCAACAATCAGAAAACACTAAAGATGATTTGAGGAAGCTTTTATGTTTTTTAAAGACTTGTGATCGAGCTGTTTTTATTTCTGGGCCCATTCCCACTTTTGAACAAGGTTCTGGGCGTTTTAGTAGAATCCTCAGCCTACATACTTGGTTGATTTCAGCTCAGTGAAATCACCTCCTACTTCTGAAGGAAGTAGGAGGTAAATAACAGGCAAAAATCAATAAAATCACGCAGAGACAAACCAGTCCGTAGATTGCAAAATTTAGTTTCTATTCCACTTAATCAGACAGATTGACAAATCCACCTTCTTCTATTAATTGTGAATTTTTCTCCTCTGAGGCCTGTGACAAAGTTGCCATATATTTCATAAATAAAATGGTGGAAATGAGGGAGAAAGTAAACTCTTCTGCATCTGCTGCTAGGGCACAATTACCTACGTTTTCCACCAAACAGGACTTACCTAGGATGACCCACTTTAACCTGGTCACTCAAAAAGATTTGAGTTACACTTCTTTTCAATATCTATATGCTTCCCTTAATTCAAATTATATGAAATAATAATATAGAATACCACAACTATGCTGCCGACGACACACAACTGTATATTAGTTTGTCACCAGGAGGTTACAGTCAGGTTCAAATACTCACTACATCTCAGGGCCGTGCAGAGACCACTAAAGGGGCAGGTGCTCAAAAAAAAAAAAAAAAAAAAAAGGGCACATCTAATTGCATTTTGGGACAGAATATTAACAAAATCACACAGCTTTCTGAGTTTAATTAACAATGATAAATTACAAAATTGTGAGACGTACAATCAAAGAACATCTGCCTGGGTCGCTGTACTTGCAGTGGAGATGAAGACGCTCCATTCAGAAAAACAGAGCCGCATCAAACTTTAACGTGGAACTGCAGAAAAAAAACAAAAGCAAAAATTTAAATAATTCATGTCACTATGAGAAAAGACTACTCTATTTGTGTTTTAGTGTATTTTGTAAGTACCTATGTACATTTTCTTCAATCTTTCCTCTTTTTTTCTTGTCAGTTTCTCTTTTTTTCCCTCATTGTCTCAGTTTGATTATTACATACATTGTTCTCTGTGTTGAGTAAAGTCTTATTTATTTCAGTCTCTGGCTTTTTAAACAAATTTCCAAATTTTAAACATTTTTTGTTATTTTTTTTCTCTTTTGTTCACAGCAGCAGTTTTCTGTTGGTCATGTCTTGAAAAATGTTAATAACCTCAATGTGAATGATTGGTACAGTTGACCCAGTTGGTCAACAATCCACTACCTTTCGCTGCTTCCAGCAGATCCTTTCTTTTTTGTTTCTGACGTCTCTCTTTACGTGGCATCTTTGAACTGAAACAAGCAAAACATAATGAATTATGATCAGAACACTATAATAAACCACACTACCAATTCTTTACCCTTGTGTTTAAACCAATATGTTTTTCAGTCCATAGCATAACAATATTAATTTCAGAAAAAATGAGACCTCTCCTATGGAGTTCAATTTGTTTCACAATTATTCAATTAAAATACTAACCTCAGTTAAATAATATAAAATTGTGATCAAGCCATTTTGAATTGTAACATTTTTTTCAACAAAAAAATGTTTAGCTTAAATTTTTTTAAACTGAAATCACAAATTTTTATCTCATGACTTTAAAAAATTATTTGCAAAACAAAAAAACTTATTTGCGCATGTCAGAAATCTTTGCTTGCTATTCAAAGTTTTGCTTGCGATTCTCACATGATGTCCTTGGCAGAGCCTGAAATTAAAACCAAAGATTTCTGATGTGTGCAAATAAAAGTTTATGTTTGCCCCTTCATTAATGACATGCTTTATTGGACAGAAACAGTTTGATTATTACATACATTATATCTATCATGGTAGTTCAGGATGAGTTATTTTTCATTCTAAATAAATATCCTTGTTGAATGTTTATTTAAATTCTCCTTCAAGATACATTTACCTAACGCCAGAATAAATGCAATATACATCATTCACCAAATAAAATGAGAAAATTAGACACATATCCATGATGGAGATGATAGGTTTTGTTCGGGCGATGTGCCCCGATTGCATAAGTAATACTGAAGAAAGACTGCCATCATTAACGATACAGGGAAGCTTTTAGTTATTTTGCTTTGCTAGCAAAGTCATTAGCTAGCAGCTAGCTCATAGCACAACAACAACAGCGTAATGTCTGATGATAAAAATACTGGATCGATAGATTAGAACAGCTTTTCCTCACCTGGCTGGCGGACTTAGAGAGCGCCCGATATTTTCCTCCGCCTGTCTTGTTATATTTCATTTCTGCTTAAACCGCGACTCCGTGCTGAAGGAGAAACGATACAACATTTAACGTTTTCCGTTATCTGACAGTAGCAAGCCGACTCCAGTTTTTTCACCAAAAATATTTTTTCAGTTCACCAAAAACTGTTTTGTAATCTGGAACGTTCGCTAGCAGTTAGCCGCCTCATCTCACCGCGCGAGAGGCAAGTGCGTCGTACGTCACGGGCAAAAGGTCAAAGGTAACAATGTGACCGGAGGGCAAAGTAGTAATAATAATAATAATAATAATAATAATAATAATAATAATAATAATAATAATTGTAGTACATGTGTAAGAAAAAAATAAATAAAATAAAATTTAAAAAAAGGGCACTTATGGTCTGCACCTATTAATTAGATTAATGTCTGGATGAGCCATAACTTTCTCCAACTAAATAAAAACAAAACTGAAATATTAGTGTTTGGACCAAAAGAGCACAGATTAAAAATAATCACCCATCTTCAATGTATTGGATTAAAATGCTCTGACAAAGCCAAAAATCTGAGCGCAAACATGGATCCTGATCTGAGAATAACCACATCAAATCTATCATAAAAACATCACACTACCATCTAAAAAATATTGCTTAAATTAGACGACTCATGTCCCCACAAGATTCTGAGAAATTAGTTCATGCGTCTGTTTTTAGTGGAGTCGATTACTGCAATGCCATTTTCACTGAATTATCAAAAAAAGCAATAAGACAGCTCCAGCTTCTCCAGAACGTCGCCGCAAGAGTCCGAACTAAAACAAAAAGAGATTAGCACATCAGTCCAGTTCTCAGATCCCTGCACTGGCTGCCTGTTGCTCAAAGAATTTAATTTAAAATCTCCTGAATAGTTTATAAAGCACTTCATAATAGGACTACATTTCTGATGTTCTACTTAGACCTTTAAGATAATCAGAATCAAACCTATTAACTATTCCAAGAGTCAGAACTAAACATGGTGAAGCAGCTTTTAGTTTCAATACTCCAACACTCTGGAATGAACTTCCTGCTTTTTGTAAGACTGTCCCTACCTTGAGTTTATTTAAAACAAGGTTGAAAACCTTCTTATTTGAAACGTGCTGCATAAATAAAGTTGTCTTGCCTACTAAGACTTAGTCAATTATTGCTGCAGTTTTTTCCTTTCTCATCCAATTTGCAAAATTAACATGAAAACTTTGCAATTTTCTACTTCTTGCTCAGTATAAAGCAATGTTTTCTTGTCTTTCTCATTTTGAAGAGTGCCAAAAAGAAGTGGGTCACTTTTCAGTCTGTTTTAATAACCCAGGAAAAGAGAGCGTTTTGTATTAATGACAACAGAGCCAAAAAAAAGCCCAATTATAAATACAGCATATTAAAATTTATGTGGCTTTAAATCGTCTTCCTCCTCAATATACTCCCTCAAAGAAAACATCCTGCGATCTTAAAGATTCAGACGTGAAGCAAATAAAGCGTCCAAGCAACTGATTATATCTGATTTTATATCTGCTACCCTGTCCACAAAAGACAAAAACAAATCAGAAAAAAGAAAATTCAAGATAAAATTCAGAAAACATTTCACATGGTTCAAACAACTGACATCGTCTCTCAGTTTCCTTTCAACAAAGCAAATGATTTTCTCTTGTGATGTCTAAAAACCAGTTAGCAAGCCGAAGCACTAGCAGAGAAAACCCTTTTAACACCAACCCATACAAATCATGCTGTTACTCAAACTGCTGCGACTCTGATGATGTCGTTCATTTCCAGCCTCAGGTTTCTCATTTAACCAAATCTATCAGCACGGAGGACGTCCACACAAACAAAGCAAGAAAGAAACTCAACTGTGTGTGTTTCTGCACAAGTAATTCATCTTCTGTCCACTGACACCAGGATCTAACGTTATCAGTTTGGGGTTTTTGTCCTTCTGGGAGGCAAACTGTACGATTGGGTAGTGAATGTTAAATAAAATTGTATCCTATTATTCAATTATTGAAGGATTTTTTGTTGTCATACTATCTTTGCTTGTTTGAGATACGAAATTCAGACTCGTGTCTCATGTCAACTGACTGGTGTTTTATCCCAATTTTTGCTGTTTTTTGTGTTTTTTTGGCAGACTAGCGTAAGCTCTCCCAGGCAAGTAAAAAGACTCAAAATCATAGAAATAATTGTAGATATTATATATATAACTGCAATATGTTTTAGTTCCATAAATGCATAATGTAGTTGGAGTTAAAGTTTTTTTCCCCATAAATTTCTTTTTTCATTTATTTCAGTTAACAGAAATGTTTTCTCCACTTCAGGTTTTGTTATTTTGTTAGTTTTAGTTGACAATAACAACCTTTCCTCCACTCTATAGTCATTTATTTGATTACCCTGGAGTTAGCTCATCTCTCCAACATTATCATTAAGGTTTTTTTGGTCGCATGTGACCAGAAGAGTTCCCTCCGCTTGTTGTGAAAAACTTTAAATGGGACTTCTTACAAATTGCACAATGAAGAGTTGTTGTTTAACTGAGCAGCAGAGTGGGTTGCACCAATATAAGGAAAACATTTGCTGTAACATAAGTAAAATGATAAGACTTGTGATAATTTCAAACATTCATAATAAACAGATCCCAGATCATATAATTTATGAAGTTCTGCAGAGATAACCCATTTTTGTAAGGACTTTAATTTTTCCTCATTAAAACTAAAAGAATGATTCCAGCTCGAAATAAAGGCACTGATGGAGTATGTGAACCTTAGAATAACAAAGCTCTGGCTGATTTGGATTGAAAACCCTCATCAGTTCCAGTATACACATTCACTAAGCATGAAATTATGCTGAAACAGTCTGACTTATAAACTTATGAAACGTCATACTTGCATCTTGGCCTGGCGAAATAATGAATTACTCGCTCATGATTTATCATTTTTCTCTTTTTCTACCAAAAACTGGGTGATAAAAGTCAATTTTTACCAAAAAGAACAATAATGTTTACAGAGACTTTGTCTCTCCTTATTTTGGATATTTAAAATGTCTTCCAAGATTTTTAATCTTTAAATTACCGGTATATTACATGAAAATGATTTCATTACAACAACATTGTTGTTAATCGTGGGACAAATTTTGTAATTGTAAGACTTACCTGCAACCTGATTAGAAAATTTGTTCACATCGCCACGGACACAACAATATTCAGACATGATAAACAACATTTCTATACTATCAAACATTGCATATATTCAATAGAAATGTTAGTATTGAAAGACAGATAGCAGCTGTTACTCTACGGATGGAAGCTTTCGTTAAACGAGAGCCGATTTCCTGGTTTTTATGGAGGTCTGGGTCTCTTATCAGAGGCAGCAGACTTTCTCTCTTTCCAATCAAGAACATAAACACAGTAGGACAGTCCTGTAAGACAGAGACAGGGGAGGATGTTTACCTGGTCGTACACGTGGACTCATTGAGCCGGGCACAAAGGGGAGGATGTTGTCCCTGCAGCAGGTTCATATCGGGAAATGTGGAGCTGAGCGTGACCTAAACACACACAGACATGTATGGCTTAGCAAATTGACCTCTTTCCTGCAGAGAAGTTGGGTTTGTCTCTAGAAACATAAAAATAACATCTACTGTTGGGGCTGAAACATTTAATGTGGAGATACTTATGGTTCTTTTCTGTTGACGGGTTTTAGAGTAAATACAAACTGGAGTTTCAAAAGTGACAATTTTATTTGTGGTGACAGAGCTGTCCAGACCAACTTGGCCTAATATGAAAAAGAAAATGCGTGATGGGAAAAACTGCTGTTAAGCATATGCATACATAACTCATTTCAAGGTCATCTCTACTGAATTTCTGTCCAGACTTGTTTTCTAAGCCATTCCAAAATATTTACTTTGACTATTTCAAGCCATTTAACAATCTCAAAGCAATTTTGTAGAGATGCTGTTGAAATAGATTTTTAAATTAGCACAATACTGCACAGGATACCCTTGATGCATATAAAATATACCATAGAAAGTTAAAGTACACTCTACGTTCGCATAAATTTAGATAAAGATCCAAACTAAAACAACTGGCCACTCTCAGATTTGACATAAATTCTATAGGGAGGATTCTACAGAAAGAAAGGCCGAGACTTTCCTTAACTCTCTATAGACAGGGAGTCTGTCTGCCAGGCAATTAACAAATTCCTTAGTGTGGTTCAAAAGTTCACTAGGATCTTAAAACTTTTTATAAATAATTTTATCCATACTAGAATTAAATATTTTCTTTAAGCATGTTTTGAATTAGTTAGTTTTAGATCCAAACTTATAGTTAGTATTTAGCATTAGATTTTGTTTCAGTAAAACACAAACAAGTTCTAGTTCAATCACTGAGCTAAAGTCACTGAGTGCCTCTCACTGAGAGGCACTCAGTGACTGAGTAAACCAAGCACCTACCGATCTTTCCATTCGAACATCTACAAGTACCCCAAGAACCATCGGAACAGTTAGTCTTCCATGTTAAACTTTAAAACTCCAGCTGTCTCTCTGGATAAAGAGTGTGCTTCGGACCGTTCCGCACACGGGTCTTGAACTCTCACTTTAGACCCAGTGAGAGTCTAAAGTTGTCCATTGTTGCTCTCATGGACTGAGAACTTTCACTTCCTGCTCTTTCCAATTCTCTTACATGTACATTAGTACACTCTTGATGCAGCGTATGCTTCAGACCAGGGGTGCTCAAGTCCAGTCCTCGAGAGGTACTATCCTGCAACTATCAGATGCAGCCCTGCTCCAACACACCTGAATCAAATGAATGACTTGTTACCAGGCCTGTTCATAGCTGAGCCTGGTCTACTGGAGTAAGGCTGCAACTTAAAGTTGCAGGATGGTAGCTCTTGAGGACTGGACTTGAGCACCTCTGCTTCAGACCATTCCATAAGCAGATCTTGAACTCCCTCCTCTTTCCACCTCTCTGAGTAAAGCCTCCCTGACATGTGCTGAATTAAGCACATGTCAGAGAGTTGGCTCCCTCACTGACACTCTGCATACAGACTATGCTTCACAGTGTTCCACCTGCAGGTCCTGAACTCAGACCCATCAGAAACACAACACGTCTTTATGCAGTGCGCCAACTGAGCACTGACCCATCAATCCGCTCGAACTCCTACAAGTACCTCAAAGTCAGTCTTCTGTGTTAAACTTTAAAACTCCAGCTGTCACTCTGGATAAAGAGTGTGCTTCGGCCCGTTCCGCACACAGGTCTTGAACTCAGACCCATCCGAACCACAACTCATGTCTTTACACAGTGCGCCAACCGAGCACCTACCGGTCTTTTCGTTCGAACTTCTACAAGTATCCCAAGAACCATCGAAACAGTTAGTCTTCCATGTTAAACTTTAAAACCATGCCTGAAGCAGACATTGAAATAAAACCCAGTCTGTATGTAATGCACCAACCAAGCATCTTCTGATCTTTCCATTCAAACTTCTACAAGTACCACAAAGTCAGTCTTCCATGTTAAACTTTAAAACTCCAGCTGTCACACTGGATGCAGACTGTGCTTCGGAGCACAGTCTGCCTTACGCGGGAACTTACACTCCTATAACACATAGCCAGCTAAGGTTTCAAAAAGAAAAAACAAAATCAGTGTGTGCTCTTCGTTTTATGAGCACAACCTCTTTGAAGAACAGTTAGTCTTCCATGTTAAACTTTAAAAGCATGCCTTAAGCAGGCTTTGAAGTAAGAACCACAACTCAGGCTCGATCCACTGAGCCAACCAAGCATCTGCCAATCATTCCGTTCGAACTTCTACAAGTACCACAAAGTCAGTCTTCCATGTTAAACATTAAAACCATGCATTAAGCTGGTTTTGAACTAAGGACCATCAGATCCAAAACTTAGTTTGAATCCACTGTGCCAACCAAGCACCTGGGAATCCTATTGCTCAAACTTCTACAAATATCACAAAGTCTGTTTTCCATGTAAAACTTTAAAAGTCCAGCTGTCACTCAGGATTCAGCCTGTACCTAGGACCATGCCTTAAGCTGGTCTTGAACTTTGAACCATCGGTATCGCAACCCAGTACACACACAGTGTGCCCACCAAGCACCTGCCCATTGTTCCGTTCAAACTTCTACAAATACCACAAAGTCAGTGTCTTCCAGAGGCACTCTCAGTGAGAGTCCCACAGAGGCACACTCAAGTTTTTGTGGATCCAAAAAGAAACAGTCACTGTCAGGTGCGTAGCTGGCATGACTTTGTGGTATTTGTAGACGTTCGAGGATCAATGTTTTCATGTGCTCATTTGGCTCATTTAATATAAACAGTCCTTCGGTCCAGAAGATCCTTAGTTCAAGACCAGGTTAAGGAATTGTTTTTGAACGTCACATTTAAAACTGACTTTGTGGTATTTGTAGAAGTTCGAGAATTGAAATTGCCAGGTGTTTGGTTGGCACACTGGAAAAACCCTATACTTTGATATCCAAAAGTTATTAGTTCAAGACCTGTTTAAGGCTTTTTTTTAAATGTCACATGGAAGACTGACTGTGTGGTATTTCATGAAGTTCAAACGTCAGGCCTGGCAATTGGCTGGATGGTGCACTTGATAAAGACTGTACTTCAGTCCAGAAGGTCCTAAGTTCAAGACCAGCTTAAGGAATTGTTTTTAAACTTCACATGTAAAACTGACTTTGTGGTATTTGTAGAAGTTCGAGAATCAAGATTGGCAGGTGTTTGGTTGGCACACAAGCTAAACCCTGTACTTTGATAACCAAAAGTTATTAGTTCGAGACCTGCCTAAGGCTTTTTCTTTTTTTCAAATGTCACATGGAAGACTGACTTTGTGGTATTTCATGAAGTTCGAAATTTAAGCTTGGTAGTTGACTGGATGGTGCACTTGATAAAGACTGTGCTTCTGTGCAGAAGGTCCTCAGTTCAAGACCAGCTTAAGGAATAGTTTTTAAACGTCATATGTAAAACTAACTTTGTGGTATTTTTAGAAGTTGGAGCGTAGCAATTGGCAAGTGTTTGGTTGGCACACAGGATAAAACCTGTACTTTGATAACCAAAAGTTCTTAGTTCAAGACCTGCGTAAGGATTTTTTTTTTAAAGGTCAAATGGAAGACTGACTTTGTGGTATTTCATGACGTTCGATCTTCAAACTTGGTAGTTGGCTGGATGGCGCACTTGATAAAGACTGTTCTTCCATATAGAAGGTTCTTAGTTCAAGACCAGTTTCATGAATTGTTTTTAAAGTTCACATGTAAAACTGACCTTTTGGTATTTTTAGAATTTCGAGCAGAGCAGTTGTCAGGTATTTCGTTGGCACACTGGTTAAATCCTGTACTTTGATATCCAAACGTTCTTAGCACAAGTCTTGCTTAAGGCTTTTTTTTTTAAAGGTCAAATGGAAGACTGACTTTGTGGTATTTCATGAAGTTCAAACTTCAAGGTTGGTAGTTGGCTGGATGGAGCACTTGATAAAGACTGTGTTTCCATCTACAAGGTCCTCAGTTCAAGACCAGCTTAAGGAATTGTTTTTAAACGTCACATGTAAAACTGACTTTGTGGTATTTGTAGAAGTTCGAGCATAACACTTGGCAAGTGTTTGGTTGGCACACTGGATGAAATCCTGTACTTTAACAACCAGAAGTTCTTAGTTCAAGACCTGCATAAGGCTCTTTTTTTTTTTAAAGGTCACATGGAAGACTGACTTTGTGGTATTTCATGAAGTTCAAACTTCGAACTTGGTAGTTGGCTGGATGGCGCACTTGATAAAGACTGTGCTTCTGTGTAGAAGGTCCTCAGTTCAAGACCAGCTTAAGGAATTGTTCTTAAACGTCACATGTAAAACTGACTTTGTGGTATTTGTAGAATTTCGAGCATAAAGGTTGGCACACTGGATAAACCCTGTACTTTGATAACCAAAAGATATTAGTTCAAGACCTGTTTAAGGCTTTTTAAAAAAATGTAACATGGAAGACTGACTTTGTGGTATTTCATGAAGTTCGAACTTCAAGCTTGGCAGTTGGCTAGATGGAGCACTTGAGAAAGACTGTGTTTCCGTCCAGAAGGCCCTCAGTTCAAGACCATCTTGAGGAATTTTTTTTAAACGTCACATGTAAAACTCACTTTGTGGTATTTGTAGAAGTTCGAGAATTGAGATTGGCAGGTGTTTGGTTGGCACACTGGATAAACCCTGTACTTTGATAACCAAAAGTTCTTAGTTCAAGACCTGCATAAGGATTTTCTTTTTAAAAGGTCAAATGGAAGACTGACTTTGTGATATTTCATGACGTTCGATCTTCAAACTTGATAATTGGCTGGATGGAGCACTTGATAAAGACTGTGCTTCCATCTCGAAGGTCCTCAGTTCAAGACCAGCTTATGGAATTGTTTTTAAACGTCACATGTAAAACTGACTTTGTGGTATTTGTAGAAGTTCGAGCATACCACTTGGCAAGTTTGGTTGGCACACTGGATGAAATCCTGTACTTTAACAACCAGAAGTTCTTAGTTCAAGACCTGCATAAGGCTCTTTTTTTTTTAAA